ATCATGGGTTCAAAACTTCATAACTGCACCTTCGTGCATTTGTCCCTGAAAACTTGGTCTGACTTCATCCCTTGTATCTTGGTAACCCTTTGGGTACGCAAGTGGGTTATGACTATAATTTTTGGTCCGTGTGTAAATTACCTTTTTGTCATTGACATCCCACAATTAATGTAGTATATTCAAATTAAATTTTATGTGCTTATACATGATTAATTAGATCATGTTCAACTTTGCTAAAACATTTTGATCCCTTTTTTAAATGTTGATTGATGAGAATGTGGTGACATTCGTCATTTCCTCTTGCAGGAGGACCTCAACCCCTTTCCTGGGATACAAGGATGAAGGTGGCTATAGGGGCAGCCCGAGGCCTTTCTTTCCTTCATGATGCTGAAGAACAAGTGATCTATCGAGATTTCAAGGCTTCTAACATTCTTTTAGACGGGGTATGTTAAATTAGTATAGTCACTTTCCTTTTTTTTTTTTTTTTTTTATTATTTTTGGTCTTTTTTTTTGTTGGGGGGGCCCGTTTCTTCAATTTTTTTTGTTAGTTTTTTTGATTTTTTTTCTTTTTGTATTTAAAAAAGTTCAATGACCTTTTTGGACCTTTGGCAAAGTTTAGTAACCATTTGGGCTATTAACTCCTATATTTATTACTAATTTGTAATTTTTTGAAATTTTGGGGTATTAGTTGCAATTAATTCTTTTGTTTTCTATTCTATTCTTTTTCTTTTATTTGAATAGAGGGCAAAATCGTCAAAAAACAGTGAAAAGGACCAGTTCTCCTTTCAAGGGTTCTCTCATTCAATCTTATAAATTTGATGGAAGGTCAAAAGTAAGAAAAAGTAACTTAGTCAAACTGTATGGAAAAAAGTTACTTTTAAGCTTTACCTGGACTGTTCAATTAACTGAAGTTCTTGATAATGAGCAGGCCGATTGACAGAAAAAAGTGACGTGTACAGCTTTGGAGTTGTTTTGCTAGAATTACTATCTGGACGCCGTGCTGTTGATAAAATGAAGGTAGGCATTGAGCAGAATCTTGTAGATTGGGCAAAACCATACTTAGGGGACAAGAGAAGATTGTTCCGGATTATGGACATCAAACTGGAAGGCCAGTATCCGCAGAAAGGAGCGTTTAGTACAGCTTCCATCGCTTTGCAATGCATAAGCCACGAGCCAAAGCTCAGACCACGAATGGCAGAGGTTTTAACCAAACTTGAAGAACTCCAATCTCCAAAAGTTGCATCTAGACATTCAATATCTGAGAATCGTCCCTCAACTGATTCTATTGGTACTCCATCAGCATCTCCATTTCCGTCCCACCAAAAATCTCGACATGGAAGAGAGACAAAGTAACGTATAGCCCAGTCAAGTATGTCATTTTCTCATTTTATATGTAAATCTGGAATTGCCACTGCATTGCTGGATCTTTGTTTATTCATACTGGAGATCAAAATAGTTACGGATAATGATTTAAATACTAATGTTAGTATCGCTAGCAGCTGCCTGAACTTTTCATGAACAAACGAGGTCAGGAACTGGTCTACAACATAGCTTTTTTCTCGCTGGCTGTGCGGTGTTTGCATTTCAAGTTAGCTGTCCTAATTGTACATGGGAACGAACTAGGTTGAGAATCAACTGATTAAACAATCTCGAGCAGCAGAAAATCGTGCAACATTGAAAAGCATAAGTTGAAAAAGTCTAAAGTAGTTTTATCCACGTACAATTATAGAAGTAATCTTAGACAATCACGAAAAATATAACCCAAAGCTTCGCATACTTTTTACTCACCCAAAGGAAAAGATAATGGAGAAGAAATGTTTTGAAAGCTAGTCCAAAATTGAAAGAATAGCAATGGTCTTCTCTTAGAGGATTGCTCTGTCACCAAGTCAAAGTTCTTCTTGGTGTTATCTTTTTCTCATTTTCTATTCCCCATCTCACGTTAACAAAAAATTCTGAGTTGTACTTTCGTTGCCATCCATTTAATAAAATCGTGTATGTAATAGGTTTTGTTAAGAAAAATGTACCCTTGCCTACACCTGAGGAGGTGCTTAGAAAACAAAATTTGAATGATATATCCGTGATCCTCTAAAATCTTAAACTTTCAAATCAAATGGCTCAATAGTGTGTCTCCCTCTCCCTTCCCTCCGCATTCCAGCCCTTGGGTCCTGTCCTTTAGATTTGAAAAGATGAGATAAAAATGGAGCAGCCGAGAGGCCCTTGGTCCCAAGGAAATAGAATGTAGTTGGGTACAAATAGGTCGGTTAAATAAGAATAAGTCGAGTATGACGAAGTTCGTGGAGGTGACACATGATTATACTTGTTAGATTTGGACTGGTAATTGATGATTGATTAAGAGTGTTTTGTCAGCTCATTATGGGGTATTCTCTGACGGATTCACTCTATTCATGTGTCCTATTCTTGAGGGAGTGATTAGGATTAAGACTGATAGTAGAATCGCGGTATATGATTATATTGAGCGTGTTTGTACATGTAATATCAAGTGAACCCGGGAGTTCCCCCAAACACTTCAGGAGGCTACATGACTGCATTGCTATTGCAGCTACGAAGAGCCACCATGAAGTGATCGGAGGAACTCTAGGGAACACCTAATGTTGGTCAATACTCCTCTTATCCAGCCAGCAACTTATGTGGTAACCTAATTCTTTTGGCACAGCTATTTATATTATTCAATGCAGCCTTCTTTGCAGTGCAGGAAGACAATGAACCTGATAAGCAAAGCCCTTGAGCATTGCACCTGGATACATATGTAGGTTATGTTCAAGTTCGAGAATATTGATGAACAGTCAGTTCTCCTTTGTTTCCTTGTCTTTTATAGAACTCGATTCTATTCCGGTAATGTTACTAGTTCTGGTAATAATGAAGGGCATCCAATGACAGTATGTCAACAAAATAGACTATTTAATGATGTTCAACCCCGTAATCCTTTCTGTTTTACATATATTTACGAATTTGTCTATTAATTAACATAACTTGCACAGATTCACATTAGTGAGACAGCTTTTTATCCATCGAAAAGAGGGAAAAAGATGGTATATTTTCAGAGATTCAGAAATGAATTATCCCAAAGAATATATGGGCACATGCAACGGAGAATTATTCTCCACTCTTAACTAGACACACAATACCGTCCAGGTTCAAGATTTATAACATCATGGGATGTTTGTCAACCTAATTCATGATTCATATTAAGCTTATGAAATGATCCATGTATAGGCATGTAAACAAATCGGGTCGAGTCGGCATGTGAGCTGAAGTTTGCGGCTCAGGAGCAGCCTGAGCTAAAAATGGCTCACACTTTTTTGGGCCAAGTCAAGCTGAGCCAAAGTTTGGACGAAAAATCAAGGCTTGATTCGGGCTGAGCCGAGTTGAACCAATTCGATATTTTTTCATGGTATGCAGCTGCTACCGGACTGGACATGCAGGTGACTGTAGCAGTGCCTGAAAGCTCAAGCAGGCAGCTACAATTGCTGCCGTGCAGGCAGACAGCTACTGGCCCATGACACGGGTTGATTGAGCCACACGGGTTGGCTTAGGCTCGGGCCGACATCGTAAGATTAGGCTTGATTCGAGCCGTGGCTTGATTCCATTGAGTCGGCTCGGGCTTTTTACGGGTCGAGCCGCGGGCCTCTCGAATTGACTAACTCGATTGACATCTCTATCTATATCCAATTTTTAAGACATTTATTAGTGTTGTGTGATTTCAAAGATAATAAATAAATAAAGCATTAAAGTCGAGAATCTTCATAATTGAAATTAAAGATTCGCAACTATTTTACATCGCTCGTCTTAACAATCGAATTAGTTACAAATGATCAAAAAAGAAAAATCCAAGAAAGAAATTGAACACGCCAGGTGGTTTTCAAGGAATAATAAAGAAAAGTGAATAATCTTTTACCAAGAATCATTTCACCAAGCCAAGAACTTGAAACCATAATTTCTTGATTTTTCTGCCTAGTTTTCTCTCAATTTTTTTTATGGCGTACATTTTCGTGACCTGAACAAGGTCTATAAATGGAGGCGAAAGAATTATTTTGATGTCCAATTTCCAACACGTTCTAAATTGGTCCCCAAAACATCATAATAACTTGAAATTGGTCCATCTCATGTTCTAAAAAAGTGTAATTTAGTCCTCAAACTCTCCAGAAGCTAAATTTCATCCCAAAACTTACGATATTCTTTTGATTGCTCTCTTAATATTTCTTTTTTCACTCCCATGCAATTCAATTAATCTTAAATTGCTCCGAACCAATTCAAAGTTGAGTTGAGATTTGTTGCCCAATTTTGTTATTCATCCAATTAATTCTTGATACATAATTAATTTAGTGGGTTAGTGGTGAAATTAATGAGGGTAAATTTGAGATAACATGTTAATTATTGATGACATATTAAAAATTAATTCAATGGACCGTAAAATTGGACAACAGATCTCAACTTATCCAAGTTAGCTCAAGACAACCCTTTTTATGCCAATTGCATCCAAATCCGAGTTTTACCTACAATTAATAAAATTACACTAGATTAGATAGGAATCCGCTTAATTAGCAATGATTTGTCATGTTTAAACTTATCAACTAGATATTTGGAACTAGATAGAATTGGGCATAACTAAGGGACACGTGATATATTTGCCAATTTTTTTTTCTTAGTCCAATACATGGGAAATATGTGCTTGAAAAATAAATAAAAGTTTTTGATTTACGTGTAATATTATTTTAATGAAGAATGTGTGGTTGAAAAGAAGAGAGAGAAAAATGCATTTTGAAAAAATAGGTACCAAACGGGGTATTAATGTTACCAATGCATCGTAACGTTACATTAATGGGGTTGAATATTCAAGAAGCTTCAAACAAGAACACATCTACATGAACAAAACTTGAATCGCAACATTTTTTGTACTTGAACCTGGTCAAGAATGTAGGCAAAATGATGAGAACAAAATAAATGACTAAATCTCAATCTTTCGATCCATATCGCTTTCCAACTTACATGCGGTTATGTTCAAATGCATACATTTCTACGTGTAGGTGATATCACAATCAACCATGCCCTCCAATATATCAGAATGCTTGAAATAAAGTCAATTAAGAGGTTGGACTAAGCACAAGAATGATAATAGAAGTCTACAAAACCTTTTCTGGACTAAAGCCGTGGCATTCTGATGCTCTATCTTGCATTTGGTCCATGGTCGAGGCCAGGTTAAAGGGCTAGTCCTATAATCCTCACTTTTCATTCTGTAGAGAACTAAAATCTTGGCCAACAGTGCCTTGATACATCTCAATAAACAATACTGGATACATACTCTATAGACCCGTATTTATACAAGTATTGGCTTACCAAACAAGAACAGATGAAAGGAGTCGAATCAAGAGGCAGATCAGGTTTACACTAGAGTTCCCTCGACCATTTCATTGAGTAATCATCAGTACCAACTCACTGAAGTGTTTGGGGGAAATCCG